AAAAAAAAAAAAAAAAAAAATAAAAATAAATAAATAAATTAGAAAAGGATTATTGAAAGAAAATTTGCTTAGTGTTTTTTTTTTTACTCGTTCATTCCATATTTTGCTTACTCACTTAAAATATTTATTTAAATTAAAATTGCGATAATCATAGCTAAAGATTTCTCGTTCTGCCAATGGAACTTGCATATCCAAAATGTCCAACATTTTGAAATTATAAAAAATCCATTCATTATGTAAGAAGTAACTTAATTGTGTTACATGTGAATAAATAATTTTATGAAGTTTCATCAGCCTAATTAAATAAAAAAAAATTTCTGGAATATTGAGTGAAAGTGTAAAAAAGAGTGTATAATAGTATATTTACATCGGTTGACGACCCGTTATTTTGAGAATTTCATCTATAATCAAGGCTGGTATCACATGAATCAACAATGTCAATACAAAATAAAGAAAACGGTTCGATGTTATAAAAGTCTGGGGATACCAAATGATTCCTTCAAATGGCATTTCTTCATTTAATTTCAATCCCATTTTAATCATTTCTTTATTAGAAATGCGATGAATTTGATAAGAAGTGGCATTGTAAACGTAAGTAGTTGGATCCTTGGTAATTCTATAAATATTTTCAAAAATCTAATTTAATTTAATATTTAATTGATTAATATTCAAATTATTATACTCTTATACGTGTTTAATCCTCGTTTCCATGCCGCTGCGATCATAATCTTAATAGCCAAATCAACAGGAAGAAAATCTGCGCATGCATTCGCTTCTAAACGAATTATTCGCAATATTCCTTTTGCACCACCAATCATCATTGCCACAGGTCCATTAAAGTTGTCCAACCAGCCAGGCATAGGATCATTGATTGTTGATGTCACTATATCAAAAGAAATAACAATTTTTTTTATTATTAAATTTTTTCTATCAGCTTTTTTTCATATCTTATCTTATTGCTTTCAATTTTTTTACATATACCTATTGACGGCCGAAAAATTACACTAGGTAAATCTTTCGAATAATCATTTATCACTTGTTCAGCTATTCGTTTGGAAAATGTGTATGTATTTGGCATTGAACCCAAATATCTATAATTGAAACATTCATTCATTAAACTTTAATGATATACTAAGGGAATTGAAAAAAATAGGCTAATAAGACTTAGACTTACTTAGAAGTAAATACTTGTATAATTTGTTCATCCAATGATTCTACCATTTTTATAACATTTCTCCAATCGGTTAAGGAAGGATATACAATTTCGTCAATCACCGGTTTATCAACATGTGCGTATGCAGTACTAACGTGCACTAAAGCCTGCACAAAAATGCATTTTTTAAAATAAACATCGAATACAAAATATTCAAGTACAAAAAAAATAATTTTACTTGCCACTAAGTTTTTCATGCTTTTTGCAAGAATACAGACATCTCTTGTTGAACGAACATTCGAAAATATATCTTTCTTTAAATTTCCCTCGAATCTAACATTTGCAGCTATATGGAAAATTATTGAAACTTGTTCGATTATTGTTTGTCTTTCGATTTTTGATAAACCTAAATCCTCGAGGCTTATATCACCAAGAACCGGAATTAATTTTTCGAAACTAGAATAGTTTTCTTTTCTTAGTCTATCAAATAGCTAGAAACAAAGAAAAAATAAATTACGAAAAACACGAGAACATATATATTACTGTTAAGTATTTTTCTACTAACCGGTAATTCGAACATTTTCTTCAATCTTTCGTCGATAGATAATCCTTTTTTTGGCCGCATTAAAATAAATATATGTCCAATTTCAGGACAAGATCTCAATAATTTTTCGATTAATACCTTTCCTAAAAAACCGCTACCACCGGTTATGAAAATATTCCGGCCAGCATAAAACGTAGCTATTGAGACACATTCCATCGATCTTGTATCGGCTATGCAATTCTGAAACCAATAATAAATTCTCATGCATTCTCGAAACGAATATTTATTTCTTATTTTTACTTCCGAACGAATCAAAAAAATCCTTCAATAATTACAATTCAAATATAACTTACAGGCATAATGTGGTGATAATAATCTTCAATTATTTTCAGATTAATTTTTTTTAACACTAAAATTGCACTAAATTTGCTTCTTTTCGTTATCTTTCTAGCAATCTAATTAAGCAATCGATTGTCCAACAATCCAAGGATTGAAACTTCAGGAAATGACACAGAAATTGACCTATTGATAATGTTATTTTAATTCATACCGGTTCAAAGAGTAAATTCTTGAATATGTATTTATACTTTTAAACCGGATTTATACATTATCAGATATTTAACATTTGAGTGAGTATTAATTAACCAATGAAAAATATTTTTTATTTTATAAATAGAATATATTCATATGTATAAATATTCTTATTAATATTCTTATTAATATTCTATAATATTTTATTCATTATTACTCTATATATTTAATCAAATGTTTACCTTTTATCGACAAAAATATTTCATCAGATTTTTTACTGTAGTAAAAAAGTTTTAAAAGTAGTAAAAAAAAAAAAAAATAAACTGTTTGGCAAATTTTTCTTTTTAAGGTAGATTTTTTTTTATAATTATTATATTATTCATATAGAAATTAGCTTGTTTAGCAATTGCATTAGAACTTAACTTCAAAACTATTTGAAAAATTTCTCTTTAGATTTCTTATCTAAAGGATAAAACTGTTTTAGTTCTATTTTTCTATAATTAATTTTATATTTATTTTTTATTTTTATATATTTATTTAATTTATATTAATTTAATATTTATTTTTTAAATAAAAATAAATAAATTTTTATTTATCCTTCTGATTATTTTGTTATTTAATTTTTTTAATTTTCATCATTTTTTCAGAATTAAATTATATTATTGGCTTTATTTTTTTTTTTATTTACAATTTTTTTCTTTATTCACAATTTTTTATAATTACTATCATCATTTTTATAATTACTGTTAAACAACTTAATTAAGAAAAAATTTTTTCTTTTTAATACAGATAATTAAATAAATTAAATATGTTTGTTCAAATGATGCAAAAACATTTATAATTTTCTTATAAATATTCTAAGAATATTTTTATACTAAATAGATAATTGTACAAAATAACTATAATATAATTTTTAATATAGTATAATTTTTTTTAAATATAAAATGTTTTTTATTATTTGAATAAATATATTTATATATATAAAAATATATAATTATTATATAAAAATATAATAATTTGAATTTAATTTAAAGTAATATTGAAAAAATATTATTGCACGGATTATTATATATATTCATATATGCACTTAATATGTAATAGATCATGTTATATATATATAATCATGAATAACTTGATCATTCATAAAGATTTATGGCAAATTCGGATATATATAACTTAATAAATATTAAATATTAATAGAAGTATTGTACATAGATTTTTACATGAAATTACGAATGTTGATCTTAATTTATTCTTTTTTACATTTAATATTGTGCTTCTTTTTTTTTACTATCCAATCATATTCAATATTATTAAGTCTACTATAAATGTGTTATATATGTACATATTTATTTATTTCGTACACCCGTATCATCCATTTGCTATCATTTGTTTTGGTAATGGCTACGAATTTTTTTGTCGATCGGGATCGCTTTTTGTAAAGAAAAATTTTTCAAAATATGATGAATTCATCAAATCATGTTCTTTCGGAAACATCGATGTCAACGATTCCCCGACAAAATGGAATACAAACACCATTGACTTCTTTACACTTTAACTTGGATCAAGAAGAAATCTTGAAAAGGTATAGAATTATTAATAAATAACCCTCGTATCAATTCTTCTATATGTATATAATTATATATTTATAAGATGGGTGGAATAGTTTGATGGAATAGTTTATTGATGTATGTAAATAATTGAAATTGTTGATATAGAGAATCGAGTAATAAAGAATCGATGATTGATCAAAAAACCAAAAATCAGGAACATGTTTTTAATAACTCGGAAATCTCTTACGAGGAATATATAGAGGACACAGAAGAGGTGGAAAAAGAACGAGCGAAATCCTTCGATGCACCACGTCGCGTTTTATCATTGGTAAAGAAGAAATATTTATATATAATTTTAACTTTCGTCATATTTAATTTAATTTTTTATTTATATTTCAGGTGGAAAAATGGCGAGAATGGCAGGTTATTTCGATGTACTACGTATCAAGATCGGCAACGATCGTGATTGATCACGCCGATATCTACGACATAGCGACGTAATGCGATTCAAGCCAGTCAATCTGATTTATTTGTGTTCGGTATTTTTCAATCAGTCAGTTTGGCAAATGTATTGATATCCAAACACCGCGATCGTTTTCGAAATAAAATTTTTTCGAATCGCGAAAAAAATATTTTTGATTGATTTAGAAAGAGGCGATGGCAGCGTTAGCGGAACATGAACAACCTGATATACACAAGCCATGGAAAATTTTACCAATAGAAAAAAAGATTGAAGTTCCTCCTGGTATTGAAGTTCCTATCCGAATTGAAGATATCAGGTACTATAAAAATAAAACTAACATTGTTTTATCTTAGAAGTTGTTCTATAGATTTTTCGCTTTTTTTTTGGTATCGTGCAGAGATAAAATAATAAAGGATTTGCAAGATAATATCCGTATGGAACAACAATATGAAAAAGAAAGGAAAGAATTCGAAGCAGAAGAAGCAAGGAATCGTCAAAAACAATTGGAACAGACGCATGCAATTCTTTCTCGACATTGGACAGCATACATGAAGAATATGTTAAAGTTGGAAGAAGAAGACAATGTTAGTATTTATAATTTAATTGAAAAATTTTGTTATTTAAATGATCGAAGAATTTGGTAATTTTTATATTTTATAAAAAGAGAATTGTCTGTCAATTTTAAAATATTATAATTATATAAATATTAAGAAAAAAAATTTTGAACAATTTTTTTTATGTATATAATTGCTTTTAGATCTTAGTTTTCGAAATATTTGCAAAAAAATTAAAAAATTTAATTTAAAAAATTTTTGCTACTATTATATAGAATTTTATACAAATGCATCCGTGTATATGCATACATATCTTTTTTTTATATGAACATATCATGATGGCCGACATAAATAAATAAATAACTTAAAATGAATAATGGATGAATTAGTTTTACAACATTGATGAAAAATTTTTACAACATATTTCAAAATTATCGAAATCAATGAGAAGTTTTCTTGACTAGTAGTACTACTTGAGTAGTAATATCACAAAGATGGTTAATCGATACGAAATTTAAGGAATGGTAGGGGAAAAAAAGGAGACCTCCTATAAAATTTTAATCAATTATTAGTTTTCGAAATATTAATAAAAAATTTTCAATACCGTATATTGAATATATGATTATTATTCTATTACATTAAGTAGAAACTTATCTAAACATTATTATAAATAATTATTTTTGTTGTGATAGTCAATTATTATGACTATATTAATACTACATAGTTACTTCAGTAACTATTCCATGTTTTAAATCAATTTCAATGGTGAATTCAATTTCAATTGAAGTTATTACAAGTATTAACGAATGGAATTTTTATTAATTTTATGTGTGTACAGAAAATAATGTTAATATAAAATAACTTTAGATGAAATGATTCGATTTCGAAAAGTTATAAAACATTCTTTCAGATATTTTTAATAATATATTGTGTATTATGTACATAATATTTTTACAGTTATTTCTGTTTATTTTTAAAAATTATTTTGAAAAATCAGACAAATATATATAATTTAAAAATTATATATAATTTAAAAATTGTATATTCCGAAAATTTTTTACATATTTTTTAAATTTACAATTATATTTTACCAAAAAATAATAATTTTTTCGGAATATAATGCGTTAATATAATATTCAGAGATTATGTTTATATTTGTATTATCAAATATATTCATACAGTTATTAAAAAAATAAATAAGTAATCATTTTTTGATTTTTGAATTAAACGGTTTGATTTTTTACGCAATATATATGATCTATTATAAAAATATATATATCTAATTTAATTCAAATGCAATTTCAGATTTTTAAAATGAAACAAAACGATCAGAAGAAAGATTAAAACATTTTATAAATATTAATGAAATTATAGAATGAAAAACTTAATAGAAACTTCTGTAGCAAAAACAATAGACATATTATTAAAAAATAAATTCTCAATATTTTAGTGTATACAGTTAGTAAATGAGAAAATATAGAAAACAGATTGTTATGATTTTAATTTCTTTTGAAAATATTGATAAAAGAAGAAATATTGAAAAAGAAATCTGCAACTTAGAATCTTAAACAAAAAAAGTAAATAGATCTAAACGGAAAATAATTTATATAAGATAATTACAAGATTATACAAGATAATTTTCTGATAAAAATTTTGATTTTCAAGCAGAAGAAAATGATCATATTTTTAGGAAAAAAAACAATATTATACTAATAAATAAACGGAATGTGAGGAACAGTATCATACATCAAAATAAGATTACTGAATTTAGTGTTTGATTTATGAAAAATTTTTTCACGAAAAATATTCAGAATTTTTGAATATATGTAATTAATATGTTTACATCTTTTAAAAAGAAAATAATTTTTTTTTATTAAATTTATAATATAAATTTTTTATCTGAGCCATAACTTAAAGCGAACATCATTTTTCGGATGAAATTGTATGCATAGAATTCAATTATTTTTTTTTAAAAAACTATTATTATTTTTTTTTTAATATTATAAATTTATATGTATTTATATTTGCAAATATATTTTTTTGTTTATATATTAATTAAATTTATAGTATATTTATAGTATACTCATTTTTGAAAATTTGGATTGATATTATTTTATTCATAGAACATTTTTAAAGAGTTGATTAAGTCAAAATAAATATAAAAATTTGCTATATAAATGTCACTTAAGGCTTATTTATTAACTTATTATTAAATTTAAATATTAAATTTATTATGTGAGTTAAATAAACCGAAATAAGAATAGAATATGATATAAGGAAGACAAAATAATTTCATTTTTTTTCTAAATTTTATCAAATTTTTTGTGAAACACAAACTTTAACTTATAATTTAATAAGCTTTAACTGATATTTTTATATATCTTATAACTTTTGTGTTTGCTTTGGCTTTTAGAATTGATTTTCCAAAGGTGTTGCATGAATATATTAATATTCTGTAAAAGTAGTGAATAAATAATGTGATTGGTTTGATTGGTATGTTTTATTCATCGTGAAAGATACTTAAGAAGAACAGATAGTCTGAATTGTATTATGCATATTTTAATTTGTGTATGTTTATTACATCCTATAATATTAATTGTAAAGATTTAACAAATGAACTAAAGGAATGAATTAAATGAATTAAAGGAAATATAAAAATATAGAATGTAAAAAAAATTATTTTAAAAATATTAGTATCACAAAAGAAGTATTGGACGGATCTGAATAAAATGCTCGAAGATAACAAATATTAGGATATTCCATAAGTTTTTTTCGCGCTAGGAATGACTTTAACTGGCTATTTTTATATAAACATGCAAGTGTATTTATTAGTCGTTTATGATTTCAATTGTTCAATTCTCAGAGCTCTTTTAAACTATGTTTTGTTGATTTTCTCTTTTAAAACTTTTTTTACACCATTTAATATGAATAGCCAAAGGAAACATTTGTTATGCTTCATTGCAAAAAGGTTTTTAAAAAAGGTGAAGTGCAAATGATATTGCAGAAATTTGTACCGTTTACAGGAGTGTTGCTACAACTATTATGACCATCCGCAATTGGTTTAAGAGATTTAGAGCTGGCAATTTTGACTTGAAAAATTAAGTCCGCAGCAGCCGTTCAGCAGCGACGAATACGGAACTTATCAAGGCCATGCTCGCTGAAAATCTGCGATATAATGTGCGTGAGATAGCGAATATCACTAACATTCCCAGAACAATGATACATAATCTGATTAGGATGGGATATCAATCGATGAAAAGTTTGAATTTCACAGCTATTGACAGAGACTGCGATTTTTATGAATCGCGTCTCTACGTGCAATTTACTTCTTCAGCGACATGAAAGAGATCCTTTCTTAAAGAGACTATCACTGGAAACGAGATTTGAATTTTGTATTAAAATGTGCATTGAAAACGTAGTTGATTTAAGGACAATAGATTTTCAACTGTCTCAAAGTGGGACTTCATCCGAAGAAAGTTCTTTTGTTCATTTAGTGGAATTGGAAAAATGTAGTTTACTATGAACTTCTTTCTCAAGATGAATCTATCAATTCTGCAAAATATTGCAACCAGCTTCATAAATTGAAAGCCTCCATATTAGAAAAACGTAATTAGCGAATTGACGAGGCGTCGTTTTTCATTACGACAATGTAAAATCACATATTGCATTGGCTATAAGAAAAAACTGTTAAAATTTGATTAGAATGTTCTATTTCGTATTTTCCCAGATCTTACTCTATCTGACTATTATTTGTTCTTGTCATTAAAAAATTCTTTCCATGATAAATGATTCCAATAAGCGAAATAAAAACACACCTCGAGGAATATTTTGCAAATAAGCTTCAAAAATTTTGGAAGAGAATAATAAGACTTGTTGAGAAATATAAGAAAGTACTAAAGCAGAATAGTTCATATATAACGCAATAAATCAACCGTAAATAACAAATATCATATATTCATTTCGTATTAAAAAAAAAGATTTATGGGACACCCTAATATCTCATGAGACTCACGGAAAGTTTTTATAAAGTTTTAATAACAAAAAATGGCAATACATGCATACAATAGTGATGTTTTAAACATTCTATACGATTCATGACAAATAAAATAACAACATAATTTGAATATCATAATCTCCATGAAACCTTTTAAGATTTAAAATTATTTTTTAAGAGAATTGGAAATGTTCTAAATGAAATGAAGAGTTTAGATTTAATGTTTCCTGAAAAACAATTGCAAATTTTTATTGTAAACAAATTTCTGCTAATCATAGAAAAAATAATTAACAATGATAAAAATAATTAAAATTCATGAAATGAAATTTGATTATTAAAAATATAAAAGAGATTACATTGCTAAAAATAGATGGATTTTTGGGATTTTAGAAACAGAGATTCAAGAATTTAATTTAAAGATATGTCTCAAAAACAAGAGAAATCGTCATGCATTAATTTTAATAATCAAGAAATATATTACTTGGAGAATAATGATTTATTTTAATTATTAAAAAGTTTACAATTGTTTGAAATATCAATATTTGTCAATAAATTAATTTATCATCAATTTTTTTGATTCTAAAACTGGAATTTTCAAACAACAACTAAAAATAAATGAAGATCAATAAAATTATATCTTCAAAGTAAAGAAATCTAATTAATAAATTTAATAGATTAATTAATAGAAGTTAATTATAAAATAATAATAGAATAATTAATAGAGAAGTAATAATTTAGATTAATTTATGTGATAAAAACAATTTAAATAATAATCTATAATAATTTATATGTATAATGTATTGATTTATCTATCAATTTAGATAATCAATATTTATGATAAAAGAAAATTCAAAAAAAAGAACTTGTTCTCAGAAATGCTCGAATAATTCGAATAGTTTATCTAAAAATTAAATAAAATTGTTTAAAAATTAAATAAAATTTGTCATAAGTTAAATTTGTCACAACTTATATTAATTTACTACTTATATTAACTTACTACTATGTTACATATATATAACTTATATTAACTAACATATTACTACTATGTTACATATATTATATTACATTTTTAATTTTGATTGACAATTAAAAACTGTATAGTTATAAGTTAATAAGTTTTAGAAAGCATATTTAAATAATTATAATAATTATTTATATAAATAGTAAATAATTATTTTCATCTATCTATAATATATGCAATATTCAATGCGATAAAAAAATTTTTATTATTATGTCAGAAATTAGCTGAAACTAAACTTTTGAATGGTATGATTTTATTCTTCTTCTCACTTCTTTAAAATTTTAATTCAATATGATGTTTGGGTCATATTGTATTTTATTTTTCTTTGTTAGATAATTATTAAAAATTATCATCATTTCTATCTATTTCTGTCAATGAATTTTAGTGGGTTCGATATATGACTTGTGATGGTCTTCCGAATCCTGGATTGCTATCTGACATGAATACTTTTTTGTTTCTTTGGTCATTGGAAGATGAACTTGCAACTATGGATACAATAGAGGAAAAATGTCGAGTAATCATACACGTAAGTAATATGTATATATTTCAGCTTTTAATTTATAATTACGATTAATTATAATATGGCATTTCAGTTATTGAATAAACTTGATAAAATTATTCGCTTTTCCACGTTAATTACAAAAGAATATGTGACTGAATACGAAACGGTAATTCTTGATAAAATTTTGTCATTTCTTCTTTTACTTTCTTCCGTAAAATGTTCATGTGATTAATGCATAGATTGCTGCCCAACTTCGGTTAAAGCTGCAACGATGGATAGATCTTGCATGTTATCGTATGTTACGTAACATTGAGACAAATATGACTAGAGAAAATACAAAAACAACTAGATACGTTCGAACTATGAATAAAGCAATATGTTGTGTTTGGGCTCCGATCACATTACCAATAGGAATGAAACCACAAGTAATGGAAAGAGATCGATTATCGGTACTTCCCGTAGTTGGGTATATACTTTCTTCAATTTAATTCTTAGTGTTATTAAGCTATTATTAAGTCTAATATAATTCACATTTTGCTCAATAGAAAATGCATTGAAATAGAATTCAAAGAAATAAAGTTGAGAATTAAAATGCCAAGCAACATAGATTGTCATCGTATGGCGATTAGAGGTCTATGGCTTGCTTACGATCATTATTCGATTGGATCGAATTCTTATTGGATATCCAAACTTCCAGAATTATTCGATTTGTGGAATCCTGCTCTCGGTGTGTTGTATATCATTCTATATTCTATACTAATTTTTCATTCAGATTATCGATTTATCGACATTGTTTATAATTTAATTCTTTTTTTCGTTTTTTTTTTCTTTTATTAGGTCTTTTTGAATATTCAGTAAAAGAATATGATGAAAAAATTCGAATAAGCGAAGAACAAGCAGAAGGACGACGTTTGCGATTAGAAGAGAAAAAAGCAATACTCGAGAAGTTAGAGTATCCTTCAGTACCGCGAATCGATAAGAGAAAACGTGCTAAAAAGCAAAAAAAATCTTCGCCGAAAGATCACCAAACAGAATTTGAATCCATGTTGACTTCAATATTACCTTCAAAATCGGAATTATTACCTTATTTACCCACCCCAAATGAGATCATTCTTGAAAGAGAAGGTACAGCTTTCAGTTTAATTCTCATATAATGTAAATTTCGTTTAATTCTCATTTAAAAAATTAAAATTATGCGAATATAGAATATTTTGTTCGTAGAAAAAGCTATGTTAGAAAGCAAAAAACTATTATTCACTCGATGCGAAAAAACGGAAGTGAACTTGCGAAAATATAGAATTCTCGGTGGAGTATTTCGCGTGGATATTCTCTATCAACCACCGCAACCGAAGGATCTTGGAAAAGATACTTACTTGACAACTCGTGAGTTTATGTACATATCACTATCACTATTTAGAGTAGTATTGTTCAGCAATTATTCATATAAACAATATTAAAGTCCAACAAAGTGTGATTTTGAGATTGTAAAGTGAGTGTTTCAATTGAATATTATCGCTCAAAAAACCACTTATGATTATATTACATTTTTATATTGTGAATTTTAATTGAACTTAATAATAATTAATTTAATTTTTGTGATTTTGATGATTGATTGAATTCCGCAGTTTTTCATTGTGATTTAATTTATATTAAATCTTTCTGACTTCTGTGACGATTAATTGTCTTGTGTCTTGTGACGATTATATTCTGAAATTTGATTTTTTGGAAACTCTTATGAATTTTGGTTCTTCTTGCAATTAATATTTTTGGCAAAAAAAAAAAAATAATAACAATTAAAAAGGAAAAAAAATCAATAGTTAATTGGAGAGTAATTTCCAACAATGGATTCTCAAAAGATAAATCGCAATGCATAGAGATCAAAATCTTTAATAATTATTTTAGTCGCAAGATATGGTGCATAAATGTAACTTATAAATTGGCCATTGCTATTGTATCTTAGTTTCTCGAATAATTGAGAATAATTGAGAATTTAGAATAATGTATTTATAATTTATTATTCATTTCATTATTATTAAAAACCTTGTACCAAAACCAAAACTTGTAAGAAATCTAAACTGTTGAAAATGCTAAAGTTATTGAGAAGTGAAATTCAAGCAATTGACGATTGACCACTTCATAAGTCAATCCTAATTTTTGTTTTTATGCATTTTTGTCAACAGCTTGCTCGCTTTAAAATCGCTAGCGACTTCAATACTAATTATATACTATACTAAAATAATATAGAGCTAGTATTTTTTATGACTAAATATATAATTGATTTTTTAATTGATTTTATGACTAAATTTTCAATTGATTTTACGAATATTGATTAACGTTGATATTAAAATATATACTAATTCTAATTTTCTAAAGTTTTTATTTAATTTTTTTATATAATTGATTTTAATCTCCGTCATTCAAATTACTGGAAATGGAATATTATTTGTTCGCTATTATAGTTCTATGATTCTATCTACCATTATAGAGAAGATAGGTTTTTTTCTTGTTACTCATTTTTTTATAAGATGTGTATTAATAAAATTAAGATGTGTATTATTAAAATGTGCCACTTGTTTCTTTGCTATATATATAGATGAGTTAGAATGCTATTATATATATAGATATATATTCTTTATTTCAATGCTATCAGAAATGCTTGAATTTGAACATTTTTTGAATTAGTTGATATCTAAATAATTCATTTTGATTTTTCACAAATTGTTTTTCGATATATATTGCCGATTAAGAAATAATTTTGAAAAATTTAAATCATCAGATAACACGGAAATAAATAAATGAGAATTCAAACAGAACTCTATTTGAATCTGCAAAATATATAATTCTTCGAACATTTAATTTTCATTCGCCAACAATGTAACGTAAATGATATTTTGAGAATTTCATTGCATTTTTCCACAATTCAATCAAATATGGTGCATACCATAATGTAAATGTTATTCTGTGTTGTATCTTTCTAATTCATGTTATGCTGCTTCAAAAGCACATCTAGTTCAGTTTATTTTGCGTTTCTATACGTATAAAATTATTTTGTTATTCGAATATATTGTCCTATATAATATAATATAATATAATATAAATTTTCTATAAACTATGAATCTCCAATTTAAAAATGCTTCAACAATAAATAATTCGTTAATTCTATAATATCTATATATAATATCTATAATAAATTTTCATGATAAAGTAAAATATAAAAAATGTAAATAAATAAATAAAATTTCATTACAATTTTGCTACAGGTCATATGTATCTGATTTACTCTGAAGTTCGAGGTCTTATTTTATCTTACATAAATAATATCTTTTCCTACTATTTGCTTCACTGAGAATTTGTAAATTATATATCAATATCGCTCGTACAACAATATTATTATTTGTTGTCATCTCACATATAATAATCTAATGTACTTGTGTTTTATTACTATTTCTATAATTAGATGTTTGAAGACAATTCGTTCAGCAAAGGATGTCTTTTCTGATGAATGTATTTTGCAATTTACCATTTACTAATAATTCCGATTGTTCAGCTAATTTTATCTTAAAAGATTATAATCATTTTTCGATATGTTCACGTGAGTCTAATTGCAACACATCACAAAATTATATACTGACCATATAAACGTCTATTTGTAATTTGCAAGTTTTTTAAGAAATGAGATTTACAATAATCTTGTTTTTACTCAAGTCTTGCGGATATTTCCAAAATTTTTTATTTCCAAAATTTAGCAAATTAGTTATCATTGTTTCTAACACTTAACATCAGATTTTTCCAATTATACCAAATAAAATTATTGCCAAATATTGAATCAATCTTTTGCTAATAAATGAAGATTTTCCTATGTGTGTATTCTATATACAATAAAATATATCCATTTCGATGAGCATATTTTCCCACATTGATTAAATTAAGGATCGTCTAATCATGTGTAATATTGTATAATATTTCTATTCTTTTTTTTGGCTAATAAGAGATTCGGTATATTTACTATAATTTTTTAGGCATAGAATGGTAAATTTACTATATTTGAAAGAAATACTAATTTGGATTTTTTCTGTTATGAAATTAATTAAATTCTTGATATTCTAAATATTCGATTTTGTTGATCTAAATTTTATGTTTAACCTGTTACAGAATTTCTATATAACAAAATTATACTGAGAATTAGATTCTAGTAAGATTTCTAGTAAGATTCAGCATTCTTATTTAACTATTTATTATTAATTATTTTTTTTCTTTAACTATTTCTCTCCATTGAAAGTTTAGAAAATCATAATATGAGTGAATAAATTATTCATATATAAAGAAAGCTAAATTGTTGAAAATCTAAACTATTAAAAATGTTAAAGTTATTGAAAAATGAAATTCAAATTAATTGCTTCATAAGTCAATCCTTAATGAGCAATATTACAATATTATTAGATAGTTGCAAATAAAAATAGGATTCGTTCATTTTAAAAAAAAAATTAATTTTTTGCATTAAGGCTATTTTTAAATTTCATTTTATCAATTTTGTAATTAAAAATCGAAAGAAAAATTATATAATGATTTATATGATATTTATATTTTAATATGAATAAGAAACATGATTATTATACATTTTTATTATTTTTATTATTGTTAGTGATATATTATAATACAATATTTTTTAAAATAATTTTCTAAATAAACTCAAGTGATATATTTTATTTTGAATATTATAAAAATAATTTATTTCTTTTCTTTCTTTTGTTTAAGTAATTATGTTTAAAATTATATTTAAAGTATATGGTAATCTTTGATATTTCTTTCACACAACTCTGGTTGTTAAATATTGAATTTAATTATAATTTCAAAAATCTCTAATTAACTGTATTAAGAAATTTTGATAAAATATAGATCTTGCATAGTTATTGTTTTATTAATTATTTAATTATTATTAAATTATGAAAGAAATATTTATCATAATAATTATTTAGGTTGTTCTGATAATCTTGATCTGATGATCTTGACATGTATTGTTGAGAACATTTTCTCGAGTTTTTTAGAGTTTCTCGAGAATTTTTACTCGTTGTTCCTTAAAAATGTAAAAAATAAAGATATAATTAGTTAATATATGTATATGTTAATATATGTATATGATATGAAAGTGATTAATTAAAAAATAAATGAGATTAATGAATTGATTAATGATATAAAGAATAAGATATATATATAGAATGAGACATATAAAGAATAATGATGTGATATAAAAATAAAAGATATAAGAATTAATTAAACTTAATCAAAAATGAAAGAATAAAATAGTAAATAATAATTATTTATAAAAATAAAAAATAAAAAGATATTGAATACTTATAAAATTAATAATAAAATAAAATTATATAATATTATATATTATATAAAATTATTCCTCTGTTCGAAAATATGATATACATTTGTGAAAAAATTAAATAAAATAAAAGTAAAATAATAAAAAAAAATATTAAATTCATTTTATTATCATAATATAACTAAACATAAATAATTTTAGTGTAATCCAAATTTAGTTAAAGTGACATTTAATAACAACAAAAACGTTATCAAGAGTATTTCTGTCTAATTTATTAAATGCATCTTGAACACATTCAATCAATTCATCAATTGTGTTTGGGGAAGATTCATGTTGTAGTGATTAAATAAAATTAAAAAACTCCAAATCAAAAATGTTTAAATCAGGACTGTTGGTGGTTGTGACTTAAATTGAATATTCCAACCATTGGTAAAACCTGCAACAACAATATCTTTATTATTATCAGAAGAACTTTGTAACTTTATTAATAGCATCATATTCTAATTTTTCTTTGTTCTTCGCATACTGTATACTGCTGTTGTAACATTGATGTTGTTCATTAATCGATTGTTTTGATTTGATATCTCTTCTTTGTAAATTCATGTTATTTGGATTAAAATTTTTCATTTTGAAATTACAACCCTGCCTATTTTATTTTTCTTTAAAAAACTAATTTTTGATATTCAAATTCTTAACTCAACTTAACTTAGCTTAAAAATAATACCTATCAAATATATTAGGTTATTTAACTATCAATGTAAACAATACCAATATAATGAGTACTGTCAGTTGCTTTCGAAACT